TCCTTCTTACAGATACTGTATGGTAGCCTATTGAAAAGACAAAAACAAGACTGTTGTACCCATAGCCCCAAATCTTTTTGCAATATATAATTTTCAAGAAAAATTTGGCCGTTTCTTACTTCATTTTGTCCTTACTCTAGGATACAAGGATTGAAGAATCTCATAGTTAAATGTGTCATTAGAGTTCAGAGGAGGCTTAATGATCATCTAGATCAGTGATTTTTCGATTGTGTCCCTGGAGAATCCTAAATTTCTATTGAATTGCAAAAAGGGTTGCCAACCACTTTAAACTGAATACTTTATCTGTGGTACTTTCGAATATAAGGCTCTGATTTAAGCTTTCATTTTAAAACAGGATTTTGTTGCAGAAATAGTTGAAACCGCTGATCTAATTTAATCTCTCTCTGCAGAGAGATATCCTTGTAAGAATATGCTTGGCAGGTGGCTATCCAGACATGGATGTTTCACCAGACACCCTTCCCATTTTTGCGTGCTCAAAAAGTTCTTCCTTATACTATCATCCAAAACATGCCTTCTTTTTCCTGTAAGACTTGGTTTTCCTGTAAGACTTAGCAACCCCAAATAATTTCCTGTTTCAGATGACAGCCAGGAAATATACTTAAATGGCTACCCATTCTTCATTCATAATTGCCTGCCAGGGACCTCTGCATCTTTAACAGAATCCCGTCCAGTGATAAGATTTCTAGGCCCTGTTTACTTCTGATCACTCTCTTCTAAAGTCCTCTAATTACGTGTTATTTCTCATCAAATGTCACTCCCAAGCATAATTCAGTATTCTACAAGTGATCCAGCTAAAGAGCTATGTATTAGGACTTTTATCTAATTTAATTCATGCTCTGCTTTAATATTAGCTTAGCTGAAGCACGTATAAGTTTCTTTTTTTGTTCTTTCTTTTTAAAATAGTTTTTAAAAAATGGGTTAATGTTAAACGTGTGGCTAATTGAAATCCTTTTTTCTACATATATTATAGTCGAGGCATATCTCTCCCCTGTGGTATTTCTGCCACTGATTTTTGAACCTGAATGTATTTGTTATGCTTATCTTGATTAAAGTGAATCTTAGTCTTGGTCCATTGATGGTCTGTGCTAGAATTCCCAAAGCTGTTCTCTACAGAAGGGATCCCATGGCCGCATGTCATGCTTGCCTTAGAAATTCACAGTACAGACTGGGTGGGCGCGGTGGCTCATGCCTGTAATCCTAGCACTTTGGGAGGCCCAGGCAGGAGGATTGTTTGAAGCCAGGAACTGGAGACCAGACTGAGCAAGAGCAAGATCCTGTCTCTACAAAAAAATGGAAACATCAGCCAGGCGTGGTGGCGCATGCCTGTAGTCCTAGCTACTCTGGAGGCTGAGGCAGGAGAATTGCTTGAGCCCAGGAGTTTGAGGTTGCAATGAGCTATGACGACACCACTGCACTATAGCCTGCATGACAGAGTAAGACCCTGTCTCCAAAAAAAGAAAATTATAAAAAGAAATTCCCAATATAGAATTTGCATAAAAACCACTAAGAAGCACTGTTGTAAGGCAACCTATTTAACTTTAATGTAACATTTACTTTAGCATAAAACACTTTTTTTTCTTTCTTTGCCCCTTCTTATCTCTCTTTCTCTCTATTTTAAAAGCATAACATTTGATTACCTTACTAGGAATAGTATTCCAGGAAACACTGCCCAGGCCTATTAGGAGAATTCTGATTTTAAGAACTATCCCTTTAAGGTTATGTTAATTGTAAATTTGATTACCATGTTTCCTATAGTTCAATCCAGTTCCACAGTTAAAAGATTAATTGCACAGGGTCAAGACAGAGTTCTTTACATACAAACAGTATTATTACTAGATTTATATAAATAGAAAAGAAGGGGTGTTCTTGAGGGTATTGTAATAATTTTGGAGTTTACATTCTTGGGATGTTGTAATAATCTTATCTCAGAATTTTGGGACTTAATAAGAAAAGTTACTGTTTTCTTATTGTAGGAATTTACTTTTTCTCTGATATCCTAATGTTCAAAGTCAGGATATTATTCTTCATCCTGATGTTCTTCATGGTTTATCTCGTATCGTCAGTGGTTTCATGATCATACATGAAAATTATTTTAGCAAACAATGTTAAACATTGGACTGGAAAATCTTACAGTATTTATTGCATTGTTTCTCACTGTTCTTCAAGGGTGTCTGTCATGAAGGCAACTTGTCATGTGTGGACTAAGTATATAAATAGCTGATAATTCATTTAAAAATATTTTATTTGAATACTCCAAAACCAAGCTTAAAGGTTATCAGAACCCAACAGGGGGTGATATCCTAATATTGTTGTATTTTAACCATCATAAAAGTTCTTATATTTTATTATTGAAACTTAATGTCTACTTGCCATCAAAATGGCCTATTTCGGTTTATAGGGATACACTTTAGGGAAACTTTTCTGTGAGTAACCTCTGTGATTAAAATATGACTATTCCTTAAATAGGCCTTGGTGCTCCCCGCATTACATAGATAAATAAGGCTATTATTGTATTAGGCCCATTTTTTGTCAACTTTGATCTATAGATCATTATTTTCAGAAAATACTAACAGTATGCCATGTGAATGAGAAGAATTCCATGGCAAATAAGTTTGAGAAAAACTGAACAACAGATCTCCTTTTTGGAGAGTCCATTAGCATATTAAAGTCCCTGAGAAATCCTCTGAGATTAAAAAAAATTAAAAAGCCTATCTTTGTTTAACCTAACGTTTTCCAAACTTGTCTGAATATAGAACCCTTTGTTTTGTTTTGGTTCCTCAAGTTCAGCTGTTGAGGTCATTGTGAGCCATGACTAGTGAAGTTGATTTTTCAATCCACATCTTAGTTTGAATATTGCTGCCTCTGGTGTGGACCACCTCCGACGGGCTGTGTCCTCTCACTATTACCCCTTCCTTTCCTGTAGCCAGCGTTAGGAAGATTGGGTCCAGCTGAGAGTTTACATGAGCCCACCCAAATATTGTCTTCATTTATTCACACGTTCATCCAATCACGTTTGATGACACACCAAGGACAAAGCAGTGATGTATAAGAGGAGACCAATATATGTTTATATGACAGACCTCCCACCCTTGCAAAGTGTGTGTCCTAGGCCCAGAGATGAGACATACCAAAAGAACCCTGATAAAAAGAGGATCCAGACAGAGGTAATCAAGGCTGTCAGAATTTAGACAGGGGAGAGAGCTGCTCCAGCTACATGATCACGAAAGCCTTGATGAAACAGTTGGCCCTTGAGATGGTCCTCGAAGGTCAGCTGAGATTTTGATGGGTAGAAGTGCGGAGCCCCCATTGTGGGAGGAAGGAAAGACACAAACAAAAACACAGACATGGCAGTCCATGAGGCTTACATGTGGAACTTTGGGTGATTCAGTTTCATAGACTGGAGGAGAATAGTAAGAATTAAATTCGGAACAGTTGCTCTTACTTCATTAATAATATCACGTGACAAGAAGACCAGAAAATTTAGTAAAAAACTAGCAAAGTATAATGTGGGAGGTTTGCAACCAGAACGATTGCCGTTTTTCCTTCCTGTCTTGCTTTTTGCTTGTTGTCATCCTCTGGAGAGTCCAGGAAGTCACAGTTACCAGGCTATACTATAGAAGGATTTTTTTTTTTTTTTTAAAGAGATAGGGTCTCACTGTGTTGCCCAGGCTGGAGTGCAGTGGTTATTCCCAGGCGTGATTATAGTACACTCAGCCTCGAACTCTTGGGCTCAAGCGATCCTCCTGTCTCAGCCTCCTGAGTAGCTGGGACTGCAGGTGTGTGCCAGCACGCCCAGCTTTAGAAATATTCTTTAGAAAGCCTGTAGTAAACTCTGAACCAATCCTAAGTGTACTGAGTTTTTCTATCCTGGAGACTACTTAAATTATAGGCTATGCACAACAGTAAAACACAGACAAATGCAAATCACAGTGCTACCCGTGTTCAAAAAAATGATGACTATTGATTTAATATTCAGAGTTTCACAAAAGTATGTGATATTGTTGTATGGATTTTTTTTTTTTTTTTTTTGAAACAGAGTCTCACTCTGTTGCCCTGGCTAGAGTGAGTGCTGTTGCATTAGCCTAGCTCACAACAACCTCAAACTACTGGGCTTAAGCGATCCTACTGCCTCAGCCTCCCGAGTAGCTGGGACTAACAGGCATGCGCCACCATGCCCAGGCTAATTTTTTCTATATATTTTTAGTTGTCCAGATAATTTCTTTCTATTTTTTTAGTAGAGACGGGAGTCTTGCTCTTGGTCAGGCTGGTTTCGAACTCCTGAGCTCAAACAATCCGCCCGCCTCGGCCTCCCAGAGAGCTAGCATTACAGGCATGAGCCACCGTGCCCGGCCTTGTATGGATTTTTATTCCAGTATTAAGAAGCTTTCATGTGGTACTGTGTTCCTAGTAATGATAATCTTAAGGAATGAAAAATTCCCTTCCTTTTGGAAATGATAAATCCTCTTCATTCAAGAGTAACATTATTCTTGATGTTACTCTATTGAGAAGAGAAGTGCAAAGTATTTTTATCTATTTTAATCTTCATTAAGTATCTGTCCATACCAGACTTGTAAGAAATGATTTTACACTTTTTTCTCTCCTCAAACCCTAGTGGCCAGTGATTTAGATATAGAGAGGAAAGAAAATTTACCAATGGAGTTTAAAAATGTAAGGGTATAATGTGATTAGTGGTGGTAGTAGAGCAGTAAAAAGAAAAATTAGAGAAGACCTCCTTTAAATTACTGATTTCAGTGGCAAAATTAAAACGATATCCACGGTATAGGTTAAATGCCATGCATCCCTATTTTACTGTGGGTCAAATCATGCAATCAAATCAATGTCATGGCAAGTTGTGTTTTAACATACGTGTACAGTGTGGAGAGAGAGTTTGAGAACTCTGAAACTATGGAAAAATACATTTTGGTATTTATCGGGTTTCTGTGATCTACACTTATACCACTCTGGTCCTGATCTTACAGGAAGTCAGAACTTCGCATCAACAGAGCGTCACTTGCTGATTCGGGAGAGTACATGTGCAAAGTGATCAGCAAATTGGGAAATGACAGCGCCTCTGCCAATATCACCATCGTGGACTCAAATGGTAAGAGATTCCTCCCGCGTTCTGTTTCTCAGTCGGTAAGAGGAGTGATCAAGACGCGTGGTAAGACTCGTGATAACTTGGTGTGTTAAATCTCATTGTGAACAAATTACAAACATAGAAAGAAAACCAAACATTTCAAGTATCTTGTGTCTCCTCCATAAAACCCTTCACTCCATGAGATGATACAGACCCAAAGTATGCACAGATTTTTAAAAAAGGATTTGAGCAAGGTCACGAGTAGCAGAGACAGGATGGGTTGCTAAAAGAAAGAGGTTATACCACCCCCTTTAAGTTGGTGAGGAAGGGCAGTCAAATCTTTGGCTGTGTTAACAACAGAATACAGTCATATATATACACAGAATTTGTTTATATACACTTATATATGTCTACATATATGTATATTACATTTATCTGTCTATATACAAAATACAGTCCTGACTCAGTATTGGCAATTTGTATTCCTACATATGTTGTTAAATGATTACATCCAGCTCTGGGTAGTAGAAAATTCAATTTTTTTAGGCCTATTAATTTTAAAATTAGAGAGAGTCTTAGAGCCAGTGAATTTCCTACTATGCATATGGCTTTAGCTTCAGCTTTCCTCAGAATAGTGCCAGGGAATATTTGTCAAATGAATGAATGACTTAGAGGTAGGAAGTGCTACCTACTCACTGTGGGAAAGTAAAAGAACCACGGCTGATGGCTCTTTGCTTCATAACACCCTAATACTCCACAGTTTGATGGCGTCATCTCTAGGAGCTGAAGAGGACTTGACAATGCTTGTTTAAAATCTCTTGGATTAATCAGATGCTATTTCAAAACCTTCGGTGCTTCTTTTCCTTTTTGAATTAAGCCACTTGTCTATTGCCTTTGCAAAATCCATCATCTGTTATAAAACCAAGCCTAGTTGCATTGCTCCTTGGTGGGAGATGAGAAAAGAGTGTGCGTTGCAAGGACATGATCTCTTTAAGGGATAAGGTAAAAATGCCAGGTTAGCACAGGAAGAGGAAAAGTAACTTTAAGGGTTAATTCCATGGGAGACTGATACAGTTTTTGTTGCTTGATCCATCTGCAGTGTAATAGGATAGGGAGAAGGGAGTGGGATAAAAATATGAAACAGGGCTGGGAAGATCCAGGTTAACGCCTAGCCGTCTCTGGACTTCTCAACGACCTGTGCTATAGCAGCGTAATCAAAGTTTATTACTTTCATTTTAAATATCTTCCTCCACAGAGAGTCGGGGAGAGCAGTGAAAAGTCGTTTCCATTACGAGCTGTGTTTGTGATAGTTTAAAATCTAAAAGCCACTTAAAATTTATATGAGTAAATATAACATCACTTTATTTTTTTAATCAGCCTAGGTTAAGCAATATTATTTTGCTGCTATTTACTGCACGTGGAATTTTATAGGATGCTACATGAAACACAAATCTAAACATTAATTTCAGTGGGTTATTCTTTACTTTCTACTATACCATATTTTGAAGGTTGTTTTGTTTGTTGCTGGCTTGGTTCAATGTGTCTCCCCATGGTTAATGCTGCTGAATTACAATTTTGACATTTGGATTCGATTTGGGTAGCTATGCATAGTATAAAGTCCCAGGAAAATAAAATTGGAGTTCTTGTCATGGTCTCACTGAGTTTTGACAGTAGTAGTATATTGATTACTGCATGGTTTCTGATTTACAAGATTAAGCAGCGAATTCTTTACCATTATATTATGTCGGGCAAAAACCCATAGGGTTCCTTTTTTCTTAATTTTTGGGGTACTGAAAGTTTGATAATATGGCTTTTCACATTTCTCACGTAAGAGAGACATCCAATTCATTTTTCCATATTAATTCATTCAAGTCTTGGTCTGGTGCTTAAATTTGAATATGTAGCATTGACCAGTTACAGTGTAGAGAAACGAAAGACAAGATGTTTTTGATAATGACTCTTCTTTTTACCTGGCAAGAATAAAGAGAAGTCCATGGAATATTGTAAGTACATCATTCTTAAACAACCAACTAAAATTCTTTCAAAAGGAATGAGTTCTTACTGACTTATTTACAGCATCAGAAGGAAGACAATGAAGAATCTCACTTATAATGATAGGTGGTCTTGTTTTTATTTTCTTCTTGGAATGTTAGGAACATGTCATCCTCATTCAAAAAGAAATGGGGGCTTTAGCATAGAAAACAAACTCATTCAGCATCACAAAGATATTTAGTAGCAAAAGGGGGCTTCAACCCAGGTTTCTTTAGTTCCTAGTAGAGCCTGGTTCACTCTGCATCTGTGTGTGTTTGCAGATGTTTAAGGGAGACTCTCTTGCTTGTGAAGAAGGGATGGTATGAGGCCTAAGAAGAAAGGGATTCTTTGGGGAAGAACTAGAATTTCATTATGATAGATGGAATTGTACCCAGGGCATCTCTAAGAATTTAAACAACGGGAGTTTGTGTTTCTTCTCTCTAGTGTTTCTACCTTTAATGTGCCTCAAATTCTTTCTTAACTTTTTTTTTTTTTTTTTTTACCGTTTCCTACATCTTCTCACTTCCCCCACTGTCACTTATGATGCTCTTTTATAATTCCAAACTTTGACCTGTTTAAAATTCCTCTTAGCAAGAAGGTGATTAGCAGAGTTTGTTTTGTTTTGGAGATAGGGTCTCACTCTGTGGCCCAGGCTAGAGTGTAGAGCACGGTGGTGTCATCGTAGCTCACAGCAACCTCAGACTCCTAGGTTCAAACGATCCTCCTCCCTCAGCCTCCCAAGTAGCTGGGACTATACAGGCCGTGCCACCACACCCGGTTAATTTTTCTATTTTTTGTACAGATGGGGTCTCGCTCTTGCTCAGACTGGTCTCAAACTCCTGGCCTCCGGCAATCCTCCTGCCTCAGCCTCCCAGATTGCTAGGACTACAGGCGTGTGCCACCTCACTGTGGTTAGCGGAGTTATCATGCCATATCACATCCAAAGACCTGCTAGAGAACTTACAAATCATCTGTCTGCGGTCAGATGCTCACCACTGGCTCAACCAGGGAGGGTGGAGGCAGAAGCACGGCTGCTGGAAACACCCCTGTCCTCACAGGCTGTGGGCAGAGCAGTGCTGCCCACCAGGGCCTGGGGCTTGGCAGGCGCCATGATTGACAAGGCCAGTGCGTTATACATGAGGGGAGACACCTTTCTTCCCTGTACCTCAAGGGCTTAGTTATACGGAAAGGAAAATATATAATCATCCTGATCCCTCACCGTCTTCCACAGCTGCCTGTGAATTTGCTATATTCTGTCGAAGGCTGGTTACCAGAGAAGTTTCACTTGGGTCTTGAGCTCTCTGGGGCCCCTGTTTGTGTTGTCACTTCCTGTCTCTCTAGAAATCTGAGCAAAGGTTGCTCAGAAACGCTCTTTTAGACAGAAAAAGCACGCTTTCTGCTGTGGTTATAAACCACAGCTAAATTGCCCCACAGCTAACCCATCTCTTTCCAAATATCTATTTACTGTTGACTTGGGCTAGTGTAGAGTGGAATTCTCAAGAATTTCTTGTTTCCTTGGGCGTCCCCGCCAAAAAAAAGTCTTTAAAGTGAGAATGTGTCAAAACGTTACATTATGTAGAACTCTCCGTGAGATTTTCTTTTATATTTTCTGTGAAATATTAGTCATTTTGTTTGTTTTGTGTTCTCTCACTCACCTATCCCATATTTCCCTAAGAAGTACATGGTTATGGTTTGGGAATTTCTATACAGGTCTTCTTGATCAATGATCTTGGCACATTGCTGCGGTCTAATTATCCTAATTTCTTCCTGTACAAAGGATTCCTTGCGATTGACTTAAATTCTCACCCAGGTACCTTTTTATGCTAAGATGTTTAGAATATATTTAGGTACAAGATGCCAACAGAGATGAGGACGTTGGGGAAGACATTCGTGAGAGGCCATTTTCTTTTTCCTCGATGATCTTGAGCTTCGGAACTATGTTTAATCCCATTAAGACAGCTATAATAATTATTAGAATAAAATTAGGTTAGGTCATAAAAGTCTTCTGCAATAAGCTAATTGTTTAGATCTACCTAGATTAGCGACTAGTTGTAAATGAAATGTTAAAAAAATTAAGAAATTCCTCTTGAAACATTATATGCTTGAGTAAAATAATGACCATACTTCCACTATTTTCGAACATTTAAAAAAGAATATACACATAGTCAATCATTTTGTTAATCTACATTTTAGAAATGTTTATGTTTTCTGCCTTTCCCAATGCCTTTCAATCCCTACTTTTTTGGAATTGGAAAAAAGAAGTTGTCATATGTCAACCTATGCAATCTGCTAATTACTTCTGGGACTACGTAAGGTTAACAAAGTGTAGTTGAGTTTTCATATAAAGACGGATCTCATAGGCAGTGATTATTATGTCATGAATTATGAGTGATTCCTTTCATGAATTCATATATGAAAATTGAAAAGACCGTATTCACTGTGCTTGTGCACTTCACAAACTATATGTTCAGTTTTATTTGTAGCTTATTTGGCTGGGTCTTTATATAGGAAATCTTGATTTAGCAATTAATTCTTAGCTAACAAGCTCTGTGAAAACTCCTGGGCATTAGAATAAGGAAGAGAATAATAGACCCGTTTGGGTTTCAAATTAATTAAGTAATGCTTTCTTTTAAAAGATTAATACAGGTGAATATATAAGTAATCAATCATCTCCTAAGTTTTCTTTTTAACCAGGAGAAAAATTATTTGCGTGAGATTCAAGATCCCATAGGAGCAATTGGGCTCATAGCAATAAAATAGCTGTTTCATTTGAGATGAGCAGAAAAATATTATTTTTATAAAATTTTATTAAGTTACCAATTGGTGCTTTAAAATACTGGCTCATGTGAGTAACAGGCTTAGCCTTACTCCCCTCCCAAATTCACAGTGTTAATAGAAATGCTATGATAGTGGTGATTAGCCTGTAGTTATATTGAGAAGCACGTAAAAATATGTTTTATAATTTGTATAGCAGTCTCCATGTAGTGTATATT